AGGGAGTTTCAGCTGGAATGAATCTTCTTCCTTTCCATTTATAAAAAACATAAATTTAAGAGTCAATCATGGCATGAAAGTTGCCATTTGTGGTACTGTTGCTTCAGGAAAGTCAAGTTTATTATCTTCCATTTTGGGAGATATGCCTAAAACTAGTGGCAGTGTTAAGCTTTGTGGTACTATGGCCTATGTTTCTCAGCTCCCGTGGATACAAAGTGGTACAATAGAAGAAAATATATTGTTTGGTAAAAAGATGGATACTGAAACGTACAATAGAGTTATTGATGCATGTTCTCTAAAGAAAGACTTGGAAGTCCTCCCATTTGGTGATCAAACCATCATAGGCGAGAGAGGCATCAATTTGAGTGGTGGACAGAAGCAAAGAGTTCAAATTGCACGTGCTTTATACCAAGATGCTGACATTTATCTCTTTGATGATCCATTTAGTGCAGTGGATGTTCATACCGGAACCCATCTCTTCAAAGTGAGTGAAAAAACTTATCAGCATGCATGTTCTATATTTCTCTTATTGGTATCTTTTTTATTTCTATTTTCTTTTTATTGCTCCTCAAATCCTGCCATTCCATAAATGAGTTATTAAGATAAATTTTTGTTCACATACAGGAATGCATACTTGGACTTCTGGATAAGAAAACAATTGTGTATGTTACCCACCAAGTAGAGTTCTTACGTGATGCAGATTTCATATTGGTATGTTATATGTGTATCATGTTATATTAACTTTTGTTTCATATTATGAGTATCAAGGCTTTGATCTAAATAAATCAGGTTATGAAAGACGGAAGGATCTCACATGCTGGAAACTATAATAGCATCCTCAAGGAATCATTATCAACAACAAAAGATTCATCCGAGGAAAGAGTACGAACAATGAGAAAGGGAAGTGGTGGGTTGTTGACCATTGGGGATACTATACAAAATGAAGATATTGTAGAACATAAAAAAGATAATGTTCATAGCACGACCAAGCCAACAGGGCAACTTGTCCAAGAGGAAGAAATAAAGAAAGGTAGCGTTGGTTTCTCAATTTACTGGATATATATGACTATGGCCTATGGGGGGTCTCTTGTGCCCTTTATATGTTTGGCACACGTACTTTTTCAAGCACTTCAAGTTGGAAGCAATTATTGGATGACTTGGGCTACTCCAGTATCAGACAGTGATACAGCTCTAGTTGGAAGCTCTACTCTCATCGGTGTTTATGTTGCTTTTGCAATTGCAAGTTCATTCTTCGTCCTTGGTAGATACTTGCTACAAGTGATTGCTGGATTAAAAACAGCCACACTTATTTTCCAAAAGATGCATTTGTGCATTTTTCGCGCTCCAATGTCTTTTTTTGATGCTACACCTAGTGGGCGTATTCTGAATAGAGTGAGTGAGCATTGACATTTTCTTTTTTCATCTTCTTTCTTTCAATGGATTATGGATATATGATGATTCTTTTGTTCAGTTTGTTCGTTATTTTCATATTCTTAAAATTTTGCTGAACTGGTTATTGTACTTTCATAACAGGCTTCTACAGACCAGAGTGCGGTGGATCTAGATATTGCCTTTCAAATGGGGTCTATTTTGATCTCAATAACTAAGCTTTTGAGTGTCATTATTGTGATGTCTCTACTAGCATGGCAAGTCTTCGTATTTTTTATCCCTGTGATCATGATATGCATCTATTTTGAGGTGAGCCATTGAGCATCTAGTCTCCTTTCTTTGTCTACTTGATATTTATGTTCATTCAGATGACTCCAACTACCTCTACATTAATCCTCCTCGATTTCATTATCCATTAATTGATAACAATACCTTTTACAATTTTATGAAGTGCATAATGATTTTGAAAAACACTTTATATGTGTTGAAGACTTGAAGCATATAATCACATACTCAAGATTTCTTAATCGCAGCGAAATTATTTACCTTTGGCACGAGAATTAGCACGGTTAGCTGGAGTTTCAAAGGCTCCAGTCATACAACATTTTGCTGAAACTCTCTCTGGATCAACTACCATCAGAGGTTTTGATCAAGAATCTAGATTTATTGATACAAGCATGCAACTAATAGATGATCATTCCCGACCCAAGTTTCATGGTTTTGCTGCTATGCAATGGATATCCTTTCGGCTAAATGTGTTGTCCCTAATAACATTCACATTTTCTCTGATTTTCTTAATCACAGTTCCAGTGGGAACTATTGATGCAAGTAAGTGAGTGAGTTGTTTTAACATAATATAATAACATTATTAGGAAGAATGTTTCAAAGTTAAGGCGTAAAGCATATCCTATGTCTAACAATAATTTACTGTCATCAAACAACTTGTAGGTTTTGCAGTATTGGCAGTGACATATGGGCTGACTTTGAACTCACAACTAGTTTGGCTTGCTGGAAATGTTTTTAAGTTGGAGACCAGTATTGTCTCAGTTGAAAGAATGATCCAGTACACTCGTATCTCTAGTGAGCCCCCTCTAGTCACTGAAACAAACACGTTGGGAATTCATTGGCCGCTACATGGTAATGTTGATATCTGCAATCTAAAGGTAATTAAATTTTACATTTTCATTGTAATGTATGGGTACCTCTTAAAATTCGAGCGCTTCGTGAGTCTTAGTTGGATCGATTTCTTATTTGAACTTGATTAACCCTCAAACCATTTATGTCAGTTTGGATATGATCTTTATATTTGAATTATGTGGGTAGCTTAATAGTCTAGTTGTCATTTCAAATGTGATGCTTTATAATTTTAATCAATATGGGGTTGTTTCAATAGGTACAATATGCTCCTCAACTGCCTCTTGTGTTACAAGGCATAACATGCACTTTATTTGGGGGAAAGAAAACTGGAGTAGTTGGAAGGACTGGCAGTGGCAAATCAACACTGATACAGACCATCTTTCGCATAGTTGAGCCAACTGAAGGTACAATTCTTATAGATGGTACCAACATATCATCTATTGGATTGCACGATTTGCGAGCTAGGTTGAGTATAATTCCACAAGATCCAACCATGTTCGAGGGGACTATTCGCGGAAATATAGATCCACTTGAAGAATATACAGATGAACAAATTTGGGAGGTAGTCAACATTAGTTCCTTGTGTTTATTACCCCTTTACATTTTCCTCCATCCCACAACAAGGTTCATCTTTTTAAAAGATAGAATTATCAGGTTCATATTATCTTTCTCTACTCTTCAAAAATCCGAAACATATATCAGTTCTCTTAATAAGCTTGTTCATCCATGGCGTAGTCATGAGAAACGCCATGTTGGTCGGATTTAAATAAAAGTTTCACATAAAGAACTTTAAATATGAAACAAAAGGTTTTACAAACTTTGGGTGTGTCCGGCACACTATGCCCCAGCATGATATACCAAAAGGGGACCTTTATATATGTGGCATAGGGAGTTTCTTGAAAATTTCTAATTTTTTTGTATTGTTTCTCTTATCAAGGCTCTAGACAAATGTCAGCTGGGAGATGAAGTTCGTAAAAAGGATGCCCGACTTGATTCTACAGGTTTTCCTCTTCAAATAGCTCAATGGGAGTGTGTGTTTTTTCACTTTAATTTGTTAGGTCCATCTTATGTGTCATAACAAAGATAGGGCAACATTGTTTATATCAAGGGAGAATTACATGGCATCATCTCACCAAATTTATTAACCACTAACATTGATGAATTGAGCTTTGTTTTTCTTAACTAGTAAGTGAGAATGGTGAAAATTGGAGTGTGGGACAGAGACAACTAGTTTGTCTTGGGCGGGTGCTGCTAAAGAAGAGCAAGATTCTGGTACTGGACGAGGCTACAGCATCGGTTGACACCACAACCGACAATCTCATCCAGCAAACTCTCAGGAAAAATTTCTCTGATTCCACTGTGATAACAATTGCACATAGGATAACCTCGGTTCTTGATAGTGACATGGTGCTGCTCTTAAGCAATGGTCAGTTGTACTATGAGTCCCACTTGAATGAACAAATCATTCTCATGAAATCAACAGAAAATTCACTGCATTTTCTCTATTTTGCAGGTCTTGTTGCGGAATATGACACTCCAGCTAATTTGTTGGATAACAAGACTTCTTTATTCTCCAAGCTTGTTGATGAGTATACCATAAGATCATGTTCTAGTTTGGAAAACTTAGGCCATTAGAGGCTTCATCCTTTTTTTGAATGCTATGATGCAAACGGACTCTTGGGGAGGTCCTCATGTGTTTCAAGACATCTATAAAAACTCTTCAAAACATCCAAACACTTTTTTTGTTGAAGTTGTTCCCCGTTTTACATTTCCCGGTGTTTTCCACATTTTTGTGATATTTAGGTTGAGTGTTTGAACCGGATTTTTTTAGAATAGAAACGTTTCTCAGACTCTTTGATCCTAGTTTCTTTTAGGAATGTTTAAATATCAAAGTAATGCACATAGAAAGTAAATAATAATCCTGTAGGTCTCACTAATGTACTTTGTCTCATTTTTCCTTTTATGTTTGTCTCACTGTGTTTGTCTCATAATAGTTTTGATTATATTTGTTTGCTACTTATAAGTTATACTTTAATAATTTAATATCAACCATGTAACTCTAGCCTTCTTAATAATAACACAACTCTCTCTTATTTCAATCATAGGGGACAAAGATAGTAATATATAATCATGTGACTATGTGAGTTAGGTAGGCAGGGATGAAGAGCCAAGTTTCAAACTTGTTATATACAGAGCATCTTAGGAGAAATTAACACAAATAATCCCTACATTTACACGGATAACAAAAGTAATTCGTAGTGGAATAGTTGATCACAATAATCTCAAGTAGTTAACTGCTTCACAAAACTAATTCGGGAGCTAACGGTGGTAATAAAAGTAATCCCTACTTTTACGCATTAAATATCATTCTTCTATGCACCATATTGCAAATATTGTCCATGAACTTTGCAACGTATTTTATATATAGTTTCTGCCGTTAATAATGTAGAAACAAAGCTTGTTAAGTTATTAGCATTTGCCACTGCAGTGATAACATGTTACGCATTTAAAGATTCACATTTGCAAAAATATTACAACTCAAGAAAAGAGTACACAATAAATGATTGACCCAAAGTAAAATTCCCTCTATTATAATACAACACAAGAAAAGACCCAACACCTAAATTTAACAAATGAATTCAAACTACTACCAAATCATAGTGAAATTTGAAGTGTAAGATAATACGGAGTATAACTGGAAATACTGATGTTCTTAAGAGGTTTATCTAGCTGCTTGCTACTATTAGGATTTGGGTTCAGATCATATATAGGTTGTAACTGGCCCTTCTAGCTAGCTGGTTTTCATCCTAATCAAGCAGCAGCCGGACACTCTCAACCATCTTGACAACATCCGGCATTTTCGGCCTTTGGTCGGGCACCCTAACAACACATGACAGTGCTATCTGTAACATCTCAACCATTTCCTCCTCTATGTTCTGGAACTTGAGGAGCTCCATGTCGAATACTTCGCCTGTCCACTGTTCCCGAACAACAGAGTGGACCCACCGCACAAGGTGTATGACCTCGTCATCGCCACTAGCTGTCGTGTGGACCACGGGCGACTTGCCTGTGAGGAGTTCAAGCAGCAACACACCAAAGCTGAAGACATCAGAAGGCTGTGTTGCTTTTCTGGTGTCCATAACCACTTCTGGGGCCCGATACCCCGCCGCACGCGCAAGGGAAGGAGATAAGGAGCCCATTATCCTCGACATGCCCGTGTCCGACACACAACCGTACCGATTCAGGTTTAGAAAGACGTTTGAGGATTTCAGGTTGCCATGAGCTAGCTTCCCCCCATTGGCTGCATGGATTTGTGCAATCCCTCTTGCTGATCCTACAGCTATCTTCACTCTTGTTTCCCAATCCAACGGTGTTGTTGGGCTTTCTCCCATGTTTCCTGCATCCATTTTGAGATCATACATGAGCATTGGTCATAGATAGCTTTGTAATAAGGCTGAGCCTCCGAGAATTAGATGTCTGTTTTATCATCATTATAGGTATTTGGATTCAGTTTGAGGGAACGCAACCAAACAATTCGAAAACTAGTTTTTGTCTGGTAACGCTTTTTCCACACCGTATTGAACTGAATCGATTTGAAAGAATCGAAAACCAAAACATTCACTCCCAGTTATACATGTATGCCGATCATCTACTAAAAACTTTGATTTTAAAATTAGCACAAGATCTTATATATTGATATGTTGATTCATACTTAGCCAAAATGGGACAACATATTCAACAAATAGTACCAATGAGAATTTATAGTAACAATAATAAATAGAAATGAGAAGAAGAGTATACCATGCAGCATAGCAGCAATGCTACCTTGGGGAAAATAGTCACAGACAATGAGCTTCTCATCTTTGGAATAGTAATATGCTCTTAGCTCAACCACATTCTCATGTTTTATACTCCCAACAAGCTCCATCTGATGTTGAAATTCCTTTATCCCGACCTCGACTTCTTTCAATCTCTTTACCACCACAGTCGTCCCCTCCTCCAACGTCGCCTTGTAAGCCATACCAAACGTTCCCTTCCCCAGCACCTCCGCTGAAGCTCTAAAAAGGTCTTCTAAATCGTACGCATAGTTACAACCCTCAAAGAAAACCAGGCTATTATTTGCTTCTTTTCCAAGCGACAAAATTGACTTCTCGTCTCTCCCCCGCCCCCATTGACCCTTCTCGTATTTCTTCATGATGAAGCGGCTTTCCCTGCTATCACTTTTCCTTCTTATACAGCACACAATCAACACAAGACTGAATCCAAGAATCGCCACCACACTCACTGCAACTCCACTTCCAAGCAAAGCCTTCTCACTCAATTTCCTAACAACATTGTGCTGGGATTTATTAAGGGCTGTTTGGTAAGGTCGTATTGAAGGGGAACAAGAAACAGTGGAGAAGTTAAAGTAAGAAACATTATAGTTTCCAGCAAACACACTTTCAGGAAACCTTTGAAGTGACTTAGGGACAGATCCAGTGAGATGGTTGTAAGACAAATTCAAGAGCTGCAACATTGGCAAATGGAAATCAGCAATTTCCCCTGAGATTGAATTGTTAGCTAAGTTTAAAGAAGTAAGACGTTTCAAACCAGAAACCGAATATGGTATACTGCCATTAAACTCATTGTTGGACAAGTCCACAGCAGTGAGGTTTTTCCAAACAGAAAAGTCAACTGGTAAAGGACCAGAGAAATTGTTGTGCTGCAAATAAAGATAAGACAAGTTCTTCATGCTAGTGAACTCAAGAGGGAAACCACCAGAGATACCATTGGATCTCAGGCTCAAGGTCTGCAATGCCGACAAGCGGTTGAGAGTGTTGTTCGGGATCGGTCCTTGAAGCCCAACCCCAGGCAGCCTCAACCCTGTGACTCTTGACCCATCTCCATTGCAGCTCACTCCAGTCCAGTTCTTGCAGACTGGGAGATTCTCATCCCAGTTAAGAACTCTCGAGTGTGGGAGCTTTTTCAGAAACTCCAGCAATGCATGCTTATCATTTTCGATAGTGGCACTTCCTTGTGACAAGAAATAACCCCACCATAACAGAGCAAATAAGCAAAAAGAATTCAGCCCCTCCATTTTTTCTGAGCTAAAAACTAAATAGAACCTACAGTTCAAACTCTTGAAGACAAAATATGTAGATATTGAAGGTGCACAGGAAAGAAGAAGCTAAGGGATGCTTAGAGCAACAAAACAGCTAACAGGACATCCTTATATAGGTGCATTTCAAGGAAAGAAAGGCATTCCAAGGTTCTAGGAAGTTTATGATGTTAGAGTAGTCTCACATGAATTACTTGAATTCAAATTTAGTATCATTTATACTAAATGTCTTATGGTCAGTTGAGTCATCCTCATTAAGCTTCGAATTCTATCATATGAAAAAGAAGTACGGGAGATTAGTTTAATTTAAAGTGATGAATCGGAGATAACAAGGTTTTTGAATTGATGGAATTTTTTGTTCAAATTAAAGGAGGGAGCTTTGTGTCTGAAAGGCTGGAACTGGAGAAGCTTTTCTTTCTGTTCTTGGCTCTTTTGCTTTTCCTTTATTTTTCGATTTTTGAATTGCTTTTTCTACCATGAGTGCATAATTTAATCCAAGGGCTTTATCTTCAGAACGAGAGGAAAACGATATAGTTTTGACAGCTGAAGATATCCCATATTTTTATCATTTTTATCGTCAGTTTGTCACTTCTTGTCCTTGAAAATAATTGTTTCCTTTTTAGATGTTGTTTACATATCCAACTTTTATCATTTTTTTATTTATAAGCAAACACAATTATATACACGTTGCAAAATTAATTTCAAACATGTCTTCACAGTTTTAACTTTCCATTAGTTTTAAATTTTATACAATTAAAAGTGTGTTTGGTAACATTGAAATGAACTTAATCGGGTGAATCTATTGATATGGATGAAGTTTGGTTGAAGTGGGTGAATTGTGGAAAACTTATATTTAAAATATTTGTTATTAATAAAATAAATAAAAATATATATGAAAAATAATTGAAATCGTCATCTACAGTAATTTCAGTCAATTCAACCAAAAAAATAATTCTAATCTTACTTATTATGATTGTAAAATAATTCAGCACACGAAATTTACAAGTTACATGTTAGGTAGTTAGGCAAACAATCATAAACACGGAGTATGTAATTATTTCAAATAATTATTTGTATTAACTAATAGTCATATTTGTGTAAATTAGTTTTACTTTAGTAATATTTTTGTAAAAAACCCGAATTATTTAGCCATATATATTCATATAATTAATTTTTAATATTATTAATAAAATATATTTTAAATATAATTTACAAATTTCAGTCGATTCAACGAAATCAATCGCTTCAACCAGAATTTACAAATTTCAGTAAATTCAACTAATTCAGTCAATTTAGTGTCATCAAATGGACTCTAAGGGGCAATTCCGTGATCTTTTTTCGGCATATCAACCGGGCTTATGTACAACTTTTCTATCAAAGACCAATCTTTAGATTTCGGGGTTAATCGATCTATATAAATAAGGCTCTACTTATGCAGTGCTTATACCGTGGAACTGGTGCATGATGAACATCATACACCCTTTGTTATTTTTTATTTCTCCTTTTATTAAAATTGTTAATAATTTTTTATTATTTTTTATCCGATTTTTATAAAATTTATATCAATTTTTTTTATTTTTCATGATCTTTCAAATGAGACCAATATTGCCTATGTAATTTTAATTTTTTACATTCATACATTTTTTGTAATATATTTTTATATGCATACACTTTTTCTATAATATTTTTTTATCACTTTATATGTTTTTAGAGGTTTTTAAGATATTGAGTTTTTTTATTTTGCTTCTAAGCTAGCTTGAAGTTACATTTGATAATATACGAAGTTACATCATCTTATACTCCGGTTACAAGTTATTATGTGTGAGTTACATCTTGTTATACACGAGTTACATACTTTTATGCGCGAGTTACATGTAATTATGTGTGAGTTATATCTAATTATTTGTGATTTTTTACTTATCTTTATCTTGAACTAATTCAATTATAACTAAATTAATTTTTTTCTTTGCCAATTTAATGCAAAATTTTATTAATCCACATAAAATAAGTATATTGTATTTCATATTCATACACTATTTTTCAAATGATAAAAATGAAAGATGTAGCAGAGGTTTATTTCGTGGTGTAACTCACGTACATTAAGATGTAACTCGCGTATATTAAGATGTAACTCGTGTACAATAAGATGTAACTCGCGCAGAAGAAGATGTAACTTCATGATATATTATCAAATGTAACTTCAAAATAATTTGTTAAAATTACATAAGCAATATTGGTCTCATTTGATAGATCATGAAAAATAAAAAAAAATTGATATCAAATTTATAAAAATCGGATATCAAATAAAAAAGTTATTACAATTTTTATCAATAAAAGAAATAAAAAATAATGGAATGAAACTGCAGCTGCGTCGTTTTGAATGAAGCCAACGTCGTTTTGCAACCGGACGCACCATCCTCATGGTGTGCCGGTTGCACGGTTTAAATTACTCTACTTATGTGGATGAGTTGTTTGAATTTGCTTCAAGTGTATTATTATTGCTTGTTTCATACAATCATTTCTCTTTTATACTCCGTGATAAAAATATTCTGAACATAAGCTTTTCATGCAGATTCAACTGTTTCATTGATAGTTTCCGAAATTTTAGTAGACTGAGTCGATTAACTAATTTTAACTCCAAATGAAAGAACAATCGGATGATTGACCAATTATACATTTTCTATATTTTATAGGTATAGTTCATCATATCAGTATCAATATATAATACGGAGTAATGAGAATAAAGATTCGCACGGGTAGCTCAGTTGGTCCGGTGATAGGAAATTTGGAACAAGTGACCAAGGTTCGAAACCCGCAGCGGCCGTGTAGAGATTACAGCTTCTGCGTGCTGGGCTGGACCTCTGGTGCGCACGGGTATAAGGTTTACCATCATTGGGCTGACTGAGTTACCGTGATTAACATCCTTCCAAAAATCCTGTCGGGTCGGAGTATGGGGACTCTTAGGGTGGGAGATTACACCTTTTGGAACGAGTAATGGGAATAAAGGTTGGTCGAACACTTTTTGACGTTTTTGTACTTCCATTCAAATGCAAAAGCCTCGCGCCAGTGACTACTAATTTATTTTCCTGAACTCCATATTTGTTTATTTTAGTTTACTAGTCATTTTGTAAAAGAATAAAATGTTAGGTAGTACTCTCTCTCCATCCGTATATGAAGATCCCCTTTGAATTGCACGAATATCAAGGAAATATATATTTTTCGAGCCCGTTTGGCAGTATAAAAATCGGCTGTTCTGGTTGATTCTGTTGAAATTTATGAAGAGGTCATTTGGCAACCCTCATTTTCGGCTTATCAGGCTTATCAGCCAACTTTTTTACCAAACACGTAAATTTTGCTTTCGCACGCTGAATTGTGTAATAAGCCGAAAAAATAAGGTTGAAGTTACTTTTCTGGCTATATTGGCTGAAGTTACTGTAGATGACCATTTTAGCTATTTTACATATAATTTTTTCTTTATTTTATTAATAAAATATATTTTAAAAATATTTTTTTCTTGTATCAGCAGAATCAGCCAATGCAGCCACTTCAGCCAGATCTTCATAAATTTCAGCAGAATCAGCTAGAACAATCGATTTTCATGCTGCCAAACAGGCTCGAAGTTCTGGCTGAAGTGGCTGCATTGGCTGATTCTGCTGATACAAGAAAAAAAATTAAAATATATTTTATTAATAAAATAAAGAAAAAAATATATGTAAAAATAGCTAAAATGGTCATCTACAGTAACTTCAGCCAATAGAGCCAGAAAAGTAACTTCAACCTTACTTTTTCGGCTTATTACACAATTCAGCGCCCCCGTTTCGGCTTACTTTTTCGGCTTATTACGGCTTATAAAATGTTGATTGATTTTGACTCATCGGATCTCAAGTTAAATGCACAAGATTTATTCTCGATCAATTTTCATGATAAGAACTCTTTTTATTTGATCCGAAACTTATATATATGTATATGTAGTGTGTTTCAAATAAAAATGCTATTATACTAAACAAAAGGTAAATACTTATATTAACTTAAAGTAGTTTTAGAATTATTCTTGACATTAAATGACAACGTCCGTATATGTCATTATTAGAAGAAGAAATGATTAAAATTAATTTGAATTGAAGAAATGAGAATTTAAAATAAAAGATATAGAAATTCAAAAAATGTGATTTAAACAACATTACATCTTAGAGTGATTTAATTGAACATAAATAATTACCAAATGGGCTAAAGTCTAAAGAAGCAATAATGGAGAAAGCAAAAAAATATTCTTGCTCTTGAGAATTGAACCCAGGCCAATTAGGTAGATAAAGTTCTCCCAACCTCCATGCTACCATTTGAACTATCACAACTCATACGTTCAAATAACGACTTCACTTTAATATATGAATACTTTCTGAACCGGGGTTGAGATATATACGTATATATACATACAGAACCACCGCCGGAGAAGGGGGAGCGCCGGCACCGGCTCGCCCCTAGTTCCGCCACTGCTGATGTGTATAAGAATATGTACAAAAGTAATTCTTGTATATTTATTGTCTCTTTCCTCGTTGCAATGTCTTCCTCCGGTCGCTCCCCATGGACCCCATGTGGCTCCAACCGTTGCACTCCCAGAGAAATTAACCGACCAAAACAGTCAAAAGCAGTAAGGTCATAATCTTAAGTTTTTTCCTAATATAATGTTAAATTAAAAAATATTTACCAAAATAAGGTTAGGTTAAAAGTATTTCCCAAAATACTGCTCCTCTCAACCGAAGTTAGGGATGGACCCAACCGGTTCGGCCCGGACCGGCCCGCCACTGTGCGAGCCCGGACTGGCCCGGTTGGTGCTAACTGGGCCCGGGCTTTTACCCGTTTGAGGAGGGTTGGGCGGGTCGGGCTCGGGCCCGTTTTTTGTTGAACCGTACCAGGCGGTTCGGGCCAGGGCCAGGCTTTTTTTAATTTTTATTTTTTTATTTTTTCAATTTTTTTTGTTTTTCTTGGTTAGGGCTGGGTGTTTTGGGGGGGTTTGGGGGGTGGGGGTGAAGGGGGGGGTCGGGGGTTAATTAGAAAGCAAAAAAAATTACCTTGACCCGGGCCGGGCCGAACCCCGGTTAGGCCCGGACCCAGTATCAACCCGGGCCAGTTCCAGGCTCAACAATTTGAAAAAAAGCCAGCCCCCGGAAGTCCGGAACCGGACCGGCCCGAGTCCATCACTAACCGAAGTTAAGAGAATCGCCACTGGCTTATACATGAACAAGTAACGAATGAACAAACTCGCAGCAGGAAGAGAACATGAGAGGGCCCCACGAAAAATGAAATCCCATTTTTATTTAAAAGTGGTATACCTTTTTTAGTTGTGCTCTGATTCTTACAAAAAATATATCAAAATTCCTAACTTTTTATTATTATTCATATGACACAAATATTCAATATATAAAAATAAAAAAATAATTTAATACTTTGAAAATATCTTTTTTGTAAATGTTACGGAGTATATCTTTTTTATTTGTACATCGATTGTTACAAAAACTATCGCTAAATTCATAACTCTTTCTTATCTTTTATAAGACACTAATTTTGAAGATATTACAATTAAAAAATTAATTAAATTAATTTATGAAGTTTATGATCATTTTTTACTATGCACACAATTAATCAGGAGTAATTGTTTATAATTTTGTTATATTTTTTGTAACAATCGAAGAACAAATAAAAAATATAACATTTAGTTATAGACCTTTAAAAATTAATTCTATTAATTTGTGCAATATATAATCGATTTTTATCGTGGAAATAATTAATCAGGAGTGATAGCTTCAAATAAAATTGCATAAACTTCATCACTTCTATTTATGGTTATATCCTTTGTGCAATTTTATTATAAACGATTACTCCTGATTAATTGTGTGCATACTAAAAAATGATCATAAACTTCATAAATTAATATAATTAATTTTTTAATTGTTTTATCTTCAAAATTAGTGTCTTATTAAAGATAAGAAAGAGTTATGAATTTAGCTATACTTTTTGTAACAATCGGAGTACAAATAAAAAAGATACACTCAATAACATTTACCAAAAAATATTTTTAAAGTATTAAATCATTTTTTATTTTATATATTGAATAATGGTGCCATATGAAAGATAATAAAAATTTATGAATTTTGATATATTTTTGTAAAAATCAGAGCACCAATAAAAAAGTTATACCACTTTGAAATAAAAATGGGAATTCATTTTTTGGTGGGCCCTCTCATGTCTTCTTTCTGCTGTTGCGTGCTTGTTCATTCGTTACTTGCTCATGTATAAGCGGCCACTTCAAGTGGCGGTTCTATGGATGGACCCAGGCCGGGCCGGTTCCGGTTCCGGGGCGGGCCCGGGCGGGCTTTTTTTGCAATTCCTTGGGCCCAGAACCGGACCGGGTTGCTACCGAGTCCGGGCCTAACCGGGTCGGGCCGGGCCGGGCCCGGTTCAATACTTAATTTTTCTTTTTCTTTTTTTGCTTTCTTGTTATCCCCCGACCCCCCCCCCTCTCACCCCCACCCCCCAAACCTCTCCAAAACACCCAGCCCAACCCTAGGAAAAGCAAAAACAATTGAAAAAAAAATGACTCGGGCCCGGTCCGAACCGCCCGGGCCGGTTCGCCCAAAACTAAGCCCGGCCCGGCAGACCCGCCCACACGGGCTAAAAGCCCGGAACCGGCAAACCGGGTCCGGTCCGGTCCGGGACCCGCACAGTAGCGGACCGGTCCGATTCCAGGCCGGTTCGGCCCGGCCCAGTCCATCCCTAGGCGGTTCTCTTAATTGGAATTGAGAGGAGCAGTATTTTGAGAAATAATTTTAATCTAACGTTATTTTGGTAAATATTTTTTTATTTGACATTATATTAGGAAAACACTCCATAATCTTTCCTTCTATCATTTCTCCCCCACACATTTTTGACTTTCAAGAACTCTTGTTCTTCGATAAGTCCAGAACTTGTAACCATAACCACATGCCAATCTTTCTTATTTGGATCGACCATCTCATCTTTAACATAAACTCCCTTCTACAAAATTCAAATTGGTATTATCAAATATTAAATCCAACTTTTAAATAATATCAGCTGGTGATATTAAGTCCAACCTTTAAATACAAAACATAATGGATCAGCTGGTGAGAAAAAGACTCTTCAGGTTTTAGAACTAAGATAAATGATATCAACCACACCACTCTTTCATTGAATGGAAAGAGAAAGAACTTTTTGGGACAACAATAAAAAGAAGAGAACATTATGGGAAGAGGGAGCATATAGCTTAGCTCCAGCACTGCCTTTTGCATGCCTGACTAAATTACTGCCTCAAAAAGGTCTTAAGTTGAACTGGTGATCTATGCAGACTTAAAACTTTTGACAATACAATTCTGAGTCTACAAATGAATGACATTATGAATGGTATGATTAACTATGTGCCCCTCTATTAGTGTGTCTTGGAGGAACAAACCGCCATAGGTCCACGGCAATGTCCATCTTCTTTTTCTTGTGAAATTTGTATAGCTTTGGCACATCGTATCGTAGCTGGAAAATGGAAGAGAATCAATTTGTATAGTTGAAAATGGAAGAGAATCAATTTGTATGGTTGACCACTCTGTAAAGTGAACATTTTATCTGTACCTCACATATAACCTCAGCGCTAATAGCGTTGTAATCTTGCAATGCAGCCCGTCTGATGTGCTGTAATTACCACCAGATGAATAAATCAGGTAAGATTGTGTTTGTTACCTTCCTGATTTCTGGACATTCCATAATAAAAACATTGTAGAGGCACCACGAAAATCAAACAGCCTTAGAGAGTTAGAGGACTCCGTCAATCAAGTGTGAAATTGTAACCTGTGTATGTGAAGGCCTAAATGAATAATTGTGCATAGTTGGAGGCACTAGTCTTAAAGCCGAACGCCTGCCTAAGTTGGGCTAGGCGCTATGTGGTGATCGCCATGCCCTGTTTTTTCCAAGTTGGTTAGAGATATCAGTCAACCAATTAGATCAATACAACGCCATCAGTTCTGATCCATCATTGAACTATACCAATGACTCAAAAGTCAAAACACAACCTTTTATTTTAGAAATTTATTAATTAGGTTATGAAGCATTCTTTTTAAGAAAAAACATGATACTACAGTATTTTTTTAAACAAAGAAAATAAAAAAAATAAGATAATCGAATATTTCTCTTTGTTTCTATTGGAAGTATTAAGACTTTAAATCATTATAAATATACAACAAGGACAGAGAATATTCCAATAATGTTCTAATGCATAATGGTATCCTGGAGCATATTCTTCAAAATTTCTAAAGCATATTCCTACAATATTCTAAAGCATATTTCACAATATTTAAGAATTATATGAACATTTCTTATTAGCAAAAAATATATAACCCAATAATAAATAACACTAGAAGTCATAAATAACTTAGGGAGACAAAGTGTCCCCAGGCGATGAGCTTGGAACTGGGCAGCAGGTCACCGCCCCACTAGCACATAACACCTTTTATTTTATTTTTTGCGGGACACATAACACCTTTTAGAACATTTGGTGGGAGGGAACTTGATATGTTTTTTTTATCCAATAAATGAAGTAGACAGATATTGAACCATTTTCCACGGAGGAGTTACATTATGATTTAATTTTACATATGAACATGTGATGGTTCAAAACACATTTTAAGCTTGCATGACTAAAAGGTAGAACTGATAAGTTAGGAAGACTTACTTCTCTAGTTGTAGTCTTGTGTAACGAATAAACTGCATGGGAGGCAACCTAACAGCAACAAAAAGTAGAAACCTAATTTCATGCATATGATGAACAATAACTGAAACTCCAAATTTAACAGCATTGATCCCACCTTCAACGCCACAAAAAGGAATTCCATGTCAGCACCTTTCTTCCGTGTTCCGAATGGTGGGTTCATAACAACAGTATCAACAATTTGGCCTACACAGAGTTAACATCAACTCAATTCATGCTTTTGTTTCATTAATTCATAGAGTTAAGTTAAGTTAATTTTAGACAACTAGCTGACACTAAATTTCATTTTAGCAACCCTAATGCAGTTGGGATTGAAGTGATGATTATGATTAGGAGTTATTCCTGGCCTCTTCTTTTAAAAACTTCAATCACGCATTTTCTTTTTAAACCTAAAAACTGTCCCCTGGCAAGTGGAAAATGAGCATTATAATGATTCATTCCTTTTGAATCTTGAAACTGCCTATAACAACTATATTCTCAACACACAATTTGCATCTTTACAAGTCATTCCTAGCCATCATGAAAATCAATTCAATTCAATAATATGAAAACAAGTGTTTAACAATATTAAACTTATACATGAAGACTTAACGAGTGGATCAGGTGGACAAGCAGTAACAATCTAAAAATTTCAGTGATATTAATATCCTTTATAAAGTAAAAACACTGAAACCAACAGTTTATGAAGTACAAAGATACACAGGTACCTTTCCATTGAATTTTACTAATATCACATTGAACAAATTCCATATCTACCTGCAGGAATAATAAAAATCAATTGAACTGTGGTGCTACTTGAGAGTACCTTTCAAGAACCCCACTAGCCATCAATAGAACTAAATCAAAATAGAGCAGGGTTCAATTCTGAGAATCAAGAAACAATCACCTCAAGGTTTTCGGCATTTGCAACTGCAATCTCAAGAGACTCGCTGTCTATATCAAGACCAATAACATGTCTGTTGCGATGAATAATTAAATAAATTATTAGCAGAATTTTAAAAATGAATCTAAACTGACATAAATGACTTAATTTTATAAAGTACAGTCTCAAAGAACAAATTTTTAGTTTTATCTAATTAATGGAATACTCGGGGCCCGGGGGATAGAGCATTAGAGTTATCCACTTACTTAGCTTCTAAGAGAGCTGCACCAATGCTTAAAGTACCACAACCACAACCAAAATCTGCAACTACCTTATTGCTCACATCCCCAAATGAAGTTTCAGCCTAAATTTATCATAGAAAAGAAAAAGATTTCTTAATAAAGGCAATCACTTTAAAATTGCTCGCAACACCAAACGGGAATCAAAATTACAGCCAATTCCAAGAACAAACTGTACAAAAGGAATCTGTAAAAAGTATAAAAGCATAGCAGATTTTACAGTGTATAGCACCCGGGAAGCTATGTGGGCTCCAGTTGGGTATTGTTCGAGTTCAATCTGCCATGAAACAGAAAATTTAATATTCAAAGAAAAACCATAAAAATATACATCCATTCATAAGCTTATAGCCTACCCCAAAACCTTTTAGGACTAAGGCTAGGATGCTGTTGTCATTGTATTCATAAGATCATAGAAAGAAAGATCATACCTTGGGCTTGGAGAACTGTTCAAGAGAGCCAAGAAGCCCCTCTAGCTGCTTCAGCTTCATCTTCACCTGCTTAATTCTGCAACAGAACTCCGTAAGCCACTTCTTTTACTACAATGTGATGGAGTCTCAAAATAGAACCCCTATTTTGGGCTAAGGCCCATATTGTTTTAGGCTCTTGCTGTCTTGCATAGTTACTTAGGTGTGGTGCACGTTTCTACCTTTTTCATACTCCGCGTATGTTTAAGTTTACGTGTCCACAATCCACATATGTTCTTGACTTCTCGCCATATGCCTCTATTTCTTGGGGTAATACCACTAATACAAAATTAAAAATATGTAATATGAGCTCTCCTATTAATTCAAAGTGATTCTTGCTTAGCCTATGTTTGGCACAACGAGTTATAGTTGGGGGGTAATGCATGAATTAAGAGTTGTTGTTTGATTGAGAGACTACTATTGTCTGTTTGAAGTGGGAATTTAAAGTGTTGAATCTGAACTGTTAGTCAAATAAAGCAGAATTGTTTGGTAAAAAGAGTCGAAACAATGCCCGAATAAAATCAAATTACATTAAAAGACATATGATTTATTAATGAAAGAATGGCGGATATAATACTACCACAAACTTAAAAGTCAAAAATAAAACTCATTTAAAATCTGAGCAAAAATAAGACTAATAATTAATGAATAGGCAGAAACACCCTCAGATCTAATACAATTATACAATTCAAACCCAAATTCTCTCACAAATCTTCCGATCATCTCTTTCCTTCAGCATCGCATCATCCATCACCGCATTAGGACGACCAATGAAGCTCTGTCGTCTCCGATGAAGCACCTCCAACGCCGCAGCACCTCCGTCGTCCGGGCGCACCATCTCCATGTTCAACTTCTTCATTTTGCTCTTCTTCTCGAACCAATTGGACTTCGTCCGATTTGGGTGATGAGGGACCAACGACCATTGAGATGGATATCAAACAGCGGCTAGGGTTTGGTGACTACGTGGCAGATGGTGGTGGTGGTAGCGAGGCAACGACGCTGTTGGATCTTATCATGGCGTGCGGCTAGGGTTCAGAGATCTGGCCGCTGGATGTGGCGGCGGATCTGGCCGGTGCAAGTGGCGGAGGATCTAGCCGCTGCAAGTGGAGGCGGATCTGGTCGGTGCAAGCGGAGGCGGATCTGGACGGTGCAAGGGTGGCGGCTCTGTCAATGGAGCCTAGGGGTAGTCTGGTGGGGTAGGTGGCGGATCTAGGCGGGCATGGCTGTGGAGGAGGGTGGTGACAGATAGGGCTGCGTAGATGGTTGGGGGTTGGGAGGGGGCTATAGACGTGGCTGATAACTGGGGAGTCGAGTCGGAGTTGGGCGGTGGTGGTTGGCGGCGGCGCTGGTGATGGCAGTTAGCCGACGGTGGTTTTCAGCGGTGGTTTTCGGTGGCAGGTGGTGGTTTCTGGTGGCAGCCAGCGGTGGTTGTTTTAGGACCGGTAATTACAAGTCCTTAAATAGCTGAACTATGTAAGTGTAATTGTAACTGGACGGATTGGGTCAGTGTAACTGGACGAGTCAGATAACTCTAATTAAACGGATCAGGTAACTGTAACTGGACAGACCTGGTAACTGTAATTGGACAAATCGGGAAACTATAACAGGACCAACGAACGTTCTTCATTATCGGATTTTTGTCACTATCGGGATTTGGTCATTATCGGGTTTTGGTCACTATCGGACTTTGGTCATTGTCGGGTTTTGGTCACTTTTGGGCTTTGGTCATTATCTAGTTTTGGTCACTATCGATTTTGGTCACTGTACTGTTTCTGTAGCATAAGTGGGTGAAATAAGGGGTATAATAGTCTCTTAGCCTATTTTTGGTCTTATTTTTGGAAATTTTTAAAAAAGTTCGCTTTTTTGTCTAAAGCTCTTATTTTAGTAATTTTTTGACATAACCCCAATAGATTATACTTCCCCTTTCTTTTTAGTAGAAGCATAATATCGTTGCATGGCCACTGCTACATGTGAACTTAAATGGTTAAAATCTTTAGTGGTTAGGTGTCGATCAACCAAGTGCTATTCCATTTTTCTGCGACATCCAATCCGCTCTTTATTTAGCCAAAAACCATGGTTTTCATGAACGGACGAAACATATTGAGATTGATTGTCATTTTGTCTGGGATGCTATACATGGTGGTATAATCTCCTTTCCTATGTGCCAACTACTTATCACCCGACAAATATTTTTACTAAAGCTTTGGGAACCGATTAGTTTCCCTTTCTTCTTCTCAAGTTGGGCATCTTAGATCCTAATGTTCCAACTTGATGGGTGTATTACACGTTATTATTATTGTTGTTGCTGTTATCATTTGTTGTACATGTATAGTTGAGGTATGTCTCAATTATTGATACTATTCAACTCCATGTAACACTATATATGCATGCTTTGTGATAGCATTAATAATACAAGATAAATATTTCCTTTATTTCTTGCTTCTCTTCTTTACTCAAATAATATTAACAAGGTGAATGTCAATCCTCACTTCGATATCTAGATCATAAAATTGAAAACATCTTGCAATAGAAGGGTTCAATAGAAAATTCAGATTTTTAGAACCATCATGGATGCATACTATTCCATGGATACCCCCAACCATTGCCAGATTGTCTCCGGTGTTCGAGCACACCCATAGATGATCGGGAGACAATTTTGCAGAAATCGCGTACTCTAATTGTAAAGAAATAAAAGTTGGAGTTTTGATTAAACGCCTCCACTCTTTGCATACACCTGTCACTCTGTCACCCTTATATGAGAAGATACTGGGAGAACCTTGAATATACAAACCAGAAGATCTTCAGAAAGTTCGCCAATTCCTATTTCATTTCTTGAAAGCATCATTGATGGCTCTGGAAGGACTATTCACTATAAAAATTTCACTTCTTGAAAGTACAGTTGACCGTTTATGTAACACTTGAGATTAAATATAAAAGGATTGTTAGTACTTCTCATATTAATAGAGATGCATCTCCTTTTAAGGGAACTCATCACCTAAGAACTCTTCGTTAAGTGTTCTTGCACGGGAGTAGTCTTGGGATGGGTGATCCCTTGGGAAGTTTCTCATGGCACGCACAAGTGAGAACAAAGTGCACAGTAAATGCTCATGGTGGTTTGTGAGGACAATACTAGAGGTCCGGAGAGAGTTCGGAGTAACTACCTTGGACCCTACGGGGCCGGGGTGTTATAGGTGGTATCAGAGCAACTCTGCGACAGTGTGTTGATCCGTTGGATATCGGGCGGGCACTTAGCAGAGGAAGATTCTTGGATATGATTAAATATAAAAGGTTAGCAGTACTACTCATAGCAACAGAGGTGCATCTCTTTTTAAGGGAACTCATCACCTAAGGAAAAGAAATTTTGAATTAGACTGGAAAATTGGATATAAAATTAAAATAAACGATACGGTGTAACTTCGTATACATCTCATTTTAAATTGATTTTTCTGATCTGGTCTGATTTAGATTAGTTTGCTCTGGATTTCCTCCAGATCTTTGATTTTGGAGTCAAAAGGATATTTGACACCACCCTAGGCAAAGGGATAACACTTCGCTTATTGGCGACGACCTAAACCCAATCGAAACCCGGAAACCGACCTTAGCCCGGCTGATTGCATTGGTTTTTGAGTGTTTATATTTATAATTTTAATTAGTTTTTACGGTGTGTTGTTGTGGTAATTGCACATTTACGGTGCAATCATTTTATTTTTCTAGTTTGTTGTAATTTTGTAAATTTAGAATCATCTTGAGCAAGAATCAATCAAGGATCAACAATGGATCATGGAAGGGATCCTACAAGATCAAAGGAAGGTGCAAGGGAGCAAGAAATCATGCTAAAAATGTGATTTGGTGACTTACCCAGTCGGGTAGACTCTTTACCCGGTCGAGTAGTATGAGTTGAAAACGGAAGGTGCTGGGTGTAACACCGTCCCCAAATGTATTTATCTTTAAGCTAATAATTTATTGAACCCTATGAAATATTTAGTGAATTTACGAAGTTGTGAATTTGTATTAATTTTTTCGCATGAATAGTAAAATGCACGTGGGGCCCACATCGGGAGTGGGGACCGCCCGATATTATCGGGGCCACATATTATATTGATCTTGGACTAGATAATATGTATATGGTGGTGGATATCCTAGTTGATCCATGACAATGGCATAGGGTTGACCGGTTGGTCAAACGGGGCCAAATTATCAGTATCGGCAATCTATCGGATAACAGCCCGAAAAGGGATTTCGGAGACTTCTAAATTAAAGTTGAGGGATACATATTGATTCTAAGGTCCATTAAGAATTGGGAACAAGTGTTATATTTTATTTGACCCGATAAAATAAAATATACTTAAAACAGTCCGGAAAAATACAACTTTCGGGACCGATTGTACACTTCTGGACAAAAAGGGTTGACCTCCCACATGGGTGGGGGCCAACCCACGATTTTAGCCTCATTATTCAGGGCCTTAGCAGGCTGGTAAGAGATATGAGGTGGGAGAGGACTGATTTGAGATGTTTGGCATCAAAACAAATCATGGTGGCCCTCCTCCCTTTCACTCATTGCCCAAAAGGAGACAAAGAGGCATTCCTACCCACCCCCCTCCTCACTAGTTCGGCCAGCAGCAAGGGAAAGGAGGAAAGAACCTCTACAACTTCATCTCCATAGCCCCAAATCCGAACTCAAGCTCAAGGGAGTCCAAGAAGAAAGTTTAAGAAGGAAAAAGCTAGGAAAAAGTGTGAAAATTAAGGTAATGACCTTATCATAACTCTTCCTTTGTTTTTCTTCTAGCATATAAGATATATATCATATGAAAGACCTTTAGTATTGTTCTACATGATTTAAGTGTGGAATAATGGGTTGGAAAGTGATTCTAAGTCCAAAAACGGACTTAGAAGCCAAATCGACCGGTTTGCCGGAAAATAACCTTTTATAGGTTATTTGTGTTGATATGGGTTTTGTGATGATAAAACCTTGTTAGGAACTTGATTTAAAGTATTTTTGAGCCTCGCCGGAGTTTCGTCGGAGTTGGTCAAAGTTCGCCGGAGTTGGTCAAAATTCGCCGGAGTTGGTCAAAGTTCAATCAAGAAACGAAGAACGCGCTTAAGCTTAATTAAGGTGAGGATGACCGACTATGATACTTATAATCTTTGGGTTAATTTCATGGGATTTCCTAAGTGAATATAAATGTGATGTGCATGAATTGTTGATGGTTAATAATGCATAAATAGAATTACTATTGATTAAAAGTATAGTATGCATGATACACAAATTTATGAATAAATTGTGTATGTTTAGATGTTATGAATATGTGTGTATGATGGTTGTACCAACCAT